ACAACGCACGCAGGTTTACGTACCTCCAGGCACCGGGCTAACCTCGAAACAACCCCCCAACCCCATTACGCAAGACTTCAGTATCCTTGGTTCATTCCCTGTGGTGAAATTCATATCAAATCTCGAGTGAATATCGACCCTGAGAAGGGGTGCGCACGGTGGACGAGACCCCGACACCGACCCATTGTCAACACAACGTGGATTCGATCATTTACACCGGGGGTTGACCTCCCCGAGGAGGTCATCCCGGATGCCCGAAGTGGACATGTACAACTCGGCGGAGATCGAGCTGGATGGTTATCCATCCTTCTCTCGACGGAAAGTAACCGGGCGGTTGCGACACAGTGGATTACACATTTTGCCGGGTTGGCCATGGCGCAACATTTCGAAACGCCGAACACAATCATGGAACCCTGTGTGGTGGATTGCACTGCTTTGTTTAGCGAGCTTTGCATCACCAGCCGCTGCTGTTCTATTGGACTTTGAAAATTGTCTATCGAAAACCATCCTCGAGTCCGACCCTCTACAACTTCAATTCGTTCCCACCAACGTGTCCGTCAAATTCAACCTTACCAACCCTCTACACCCGCTTGCCATCACGGTCTATGGCAATGTGTCGGGAACTACGTCTCGAACTGCAAATTACCCGGCACCGGGTTCTCCCGACTGGATAAATCCCAATTGGACCGATGGCAAGATTCAGGACGTGTACAGTATCAACAACAAGTATAGTACGCTGATGACAGATCTCAATGTGCTCAGCTTCACAGCCTTTGACAATGCCTCTCGTTTCCGTGACTCGGTCACGCAAGGTACCCTCCCGTTGGGACCGGTCTTCAACTACAACCTGTAAGCTATTCCCGGAACAGAAGGCCCTCTGTACTGTTTAACTAATTCCTTTGTCTTCTGCAGGAGTCAATTGGACACATTACGAGCGTTCACTATTGAACATGATATGCTTTCAACGTACCGTTTTGGAACAATCATCCCGTTATTAAGGGTTCGCTCTGGAGATGCATCCGCGGTTGAGCTCGCCTGTGTTTCAGTGAGCGCCACACCGGACTTAGGAGCACCCCTCAAAAATGCCATCGCCTACGTGCCTCTCATAATTTTGATACTCGTGGGGATTGCGACCATCACTGCCGCCATGTATAGCCCTTGGGGCACAACTGATCTGTTTCGGTGGACAAGTAACTATGGCCGTGATGAGGACGTTCTCCGGCTCGTCACTCCTGGGTTTGCAGATTGCCTGCAATACCTTCAATTCGTGGTCTTGACAGGCTCGCTTTCTTTGGATTACCCAGGCTTCTTCCAGCCTGCAGTGAGCCAAGGAGCATGGTCGACTCTCATGTTCAATCAAAGTTTCGTGAGCACTAACATGGGCCGCAATCCTGTTGTCGATGGTTTATATGCCATCAATGGAACTTATGGCCTCGATCGATTGAACCACCTGGTTGGCATGGCCTCGTCCCAGGATATCTGGCCCGGTATGATGATATGGGTGCTGGTAATCCTGGCCTGTGTGACGGTGCTGTTCCAGATCGCATTCGCACTTCGATGGCTGTATCGTGAGTTGGCAAACAATACCGATCAGGATCTGCGTGCCAGAAACATGCCGTTTACCTTAGGCAACCTCATTCGCATTGTCTTCAATTTCCTTCTCTTGCCAATCGTTTCCCTTTCCTTCTTCCAACTGGTTCTTGCTCGTGAATCAACCGCTTACTGTGTTGCTTTGGCAGCTGTGGTGCTTGTCATTGTCGCTTGTTTCTCCATCTGGGTCATCCGAGTGATTCTTACCACCCGACCCAAGTCTCACCTTTTCGATGATCTTCCTACGGTGCTATTGTATGGGCCGCTATATAATACATACTGCGACGATGCAGCAGCTTTCGGTATCGTCCCGATTGTCTTGAACATCGCTCGCGGGATAGCCATTGGTGCTTTGCAGCCATCCGGCATTGCCCAGGTGGTAATGTTGGCCATTTGCGAAGTTGTCTCCGTACTAACCCTGCTGGCTTTCCGACCTTTCTCAGGACCGACTCACATGAACCTGTACCACTGCCTCTTCTCCATTGTGCGTTTCTTGACAGTTATCTTGAGCGTCATCTTTGTGCCGTCATTGACGGTTTCGGATGCGGCACGAGGCTGGATCGGATATTTGATCCTTGTGCTGCATGCCATGGTTCTCATCTTCGGGTTCTTCCTCAACGCCATGCAAACATTGATCGAGGTCTTGGCAAGACTGGCTGGTGCGGGTGGTGCCACTCGTGGTGGCTTGACCAAGGTGCTTGGTATGCGCCAGCTCTCTAGGCGTACTCCGCGACGTGATCTTACTCGCCAGAGCCTGGGATCGGAGGCTGCTATGCTCGGACACGGTGATGACCGTATGTCTTCTCAGTTTGATGGATCGCGCCCCCGCAGTCTCTCTGGGAGCTCCGGTCTGCTTCTCAACCGTGCCACAGCCAGTGATGGCAGAGCTAGCGCTGTCTATGATTATCCTAGTTCGCAAGGGGGCACCCACAGCCGTGCGCCTAGTGGAGGATTCCCCACACCTACCTCAACTGCCTATCAAGGAGCCGGCTTCCCCAGCTCCCCTAGCAGTGGTACGATGATGGGAACGAACCCTCGTGATCCCTATTATCGTCCACCCCGCCCAGGGCGCAAAGCCCCACCGGGAAGTGCTGCTCTCGAGAAAGGCAAGAGCCCGTCAAGGGGCTTCTTGAAATCAAGAGCAAGCCGCCGAACAGTCAAAACTGACGACGACCTGGGAGATGGCACTATGTCTGGCCGGGCCACACCTGTCCCAGCATATCTAGCAGCACCGAAGGATGATATGGAGCTCGATACCCCACGAAAGCCGAAGGATTATGCTGTTCGTGAGGTTGATTTCTACTACGGTGTTCGAGGCCCGCCGCTCTCTCACAGCGGTACCCGAAAGTTGAAAACTGGGCCAGCCGACCCCACAGGCCCAGTCTCATCTGCAACGGGCTGGTTCCGAAGTTTGCTCCAAGGGAAGACCAAGGACAACGCCAAAGGATTTGAGGTGGTTCGAAGTGCTCGTGCGCCTCCTCCAGGTCTATTCCCGCGAGGAGGAGACTACAACGAGCGGTATCAGGATGATATAGGCACGCCATCCGCTAGCCATTCTCGGAATGTGTCCACTAGTAATGTTCCTTATCAGGATTCAGATAATGACCAAGACCCCGAGCAGTCAAGTGATACAAACCCACCAGTACTGCCACCACTTAATACGTCAGTTGGCGGTGGCATTGAGTTGCCTAGTCGAACGGGTTCTCGGCACACACAGGCGCCCGGGGAACAAGATGCAGGTGAAGGTGCGGCTGGCCTTCCAGTTGTAACCGAGACCCTGTCGCACGACTCTGAGGTGGGCCAGCACTTTGAACACTCCGTGCACCATCTCCAGCCAGAAGGCGCCACCACCGCGCGCCTGCCTTTCAGCGGGAGTAGTTCGCCATCTCGTGAACGAGGTCTGTCTATGACCTCTACTTCAAGGTCAAGGTCAAACGCCTCAAGCCAGAAAACGGGGCATCGAGCGGAACGGCCCTCGAGCATGGGGTATGTACCTCAACATCGCGCACACGACCACATTCACGAGGCGAGCCCCGACGAGCCATCGTTTACAGGTAGCTCAGCAGAACTTGTTGATGAAGCTGCGCTGGGCGGACACGGACGCTAGAAAGATGACAAGAGGCAATCGCATTTATTTTGAATCAGTATATTCCTCTCCTTCGATATCTACCTCTCTCTATCTCTGTCTCTGTTCCTCTCCATGGATCTCCCTCACTACTTATTTCCTATTTACCTCTATCGATATCGTCAACACACCACCCCCCGAAATACTGGCGAATTGATGTCACTATCACGAGTTTCCTTGCTGTCTGTCCGTCTATTTCTTGCTTTGTGCGTTTACATAAAATTGATGCGACGGCGTTTTATCTCTGATCCCGATATACACTTAATGGGGAGTGAGCTCATCGGCATTTTGTTATCTTTCTGGCTGTCACTGAATCCAAGCGATATGCTGTTTGCTTCTTGGAGGCTTTGCTTCTTTCTGTCCCTGTCTCTTTTCGCTCTTCTTGTATCAATCTTAGGACACAGTAGTACCGAGATCATAATTAATGAAGGTTGTTCATAAGTGCTCTTTTCTAATAGTGATGCTAAAGCCTCGATATACCTTGGAATATTGATACAAGCGATCTCACGTATGGAGAAGGAGCGTATGTCTCCTGTTGCATCGCCATGCTGGGCTCGCTGCCTAGTGACAATATCATGCAAGGATCCTCCGGCCATGCGTACGCATTGAAAACCTCATTAATCTTTAACATCTATATCTAGACATGGTAGTTTCTTTGGGGATACTGTACCATAACTGCATGTTTTTATTATCATTTGAATGAGATCCAGGTCAGAGCACCGAGGCTTTGAGTAGACCATCAACCAGAAACAACCGAGGCCGATGATACGCGGGCAGATCGGCCCGATACTGTCAATCGCCACCGCCCAGACCGCCCCACGATAACAGCCGTATCTGGGCCAAACACGCAATACTTTGCATCATTTCCTCTCTTTCTCTCCGAGTCAAGTGTTACTCTGCTGGTTTTGTTCTTTTCATCGTTTCGATCTGCTGCTGGCACTCGCTACTGTGTAGCTGGCATCTGAGAGCATAGTCACGAGACTCTCAGCCTCATCCATCTCCTAAATCCGATCCAATCAGCCTTGGCTCCATGATAAGCATCATCCTGTCACTCCTTGATGTGATCTTCGGCAAAAACCGTCAACGTCATTGAGGCTGAGCCCGAGATTGCACAAAAGGACTCTCCGTCCTCTAAACTCATATCTCCGACCTCCCCGCCATCCATTTTCCTCTCGATCGCCACCTGGTTCATGAAGACTGTCACCCCAACGGCCGAGATCGATCTCGTTGCCCGTGTTGAATAGAATCCCACAGAGGACCCATATCATTCGATCTAGCAATAATAATGCCTGGATCAAGCACGGCATCATCCAGCCCGATTCCGTCCAGCTCCCCGCCGAGGATGCGGGCAGGCACGAGACCAGTCGGAAGACCAGAGGGACAAGGCACAATCCAATCTGGAAGCTACAGCGCCTATGAAGGAGGCAGCTCCAGGGCGAGAGCCTTCCCCATTCGTGTCGGTTCAGAGCGTAAAAGACGGTTGACCAGCACCGGCGAGGATGCGAGGTCACAATGGGAACGATCCGGAGGCACGGCTGGACCGGCCCGAAACAATGGGGGATCCTCTAGGAGTATCCTGCCGCATAGATCTGTTTCGATGGTATTGCCTTCGTCCCGCACCAGGACTTCTATTTCCGCAGCACCTGGCTCGTCATTCGCAACAGCAATTGATATCTCTTCCTCTCCCCCAGGGACGCCTCGTACTTCTACTTCTGACGAGCAACTGCTGGGGTTTTCTCGACGGGAGAATCCAACACCCTGGATTAATCAAACTCGCTCCATTCCACCTCTTCCCAATGATATACCCCCACCACCTACGGACATGGCTCTCCCGAAATGGCAGGCTGATTCGGATGTGTCAGAATGTCCGATCTGTGGGATTGTCTTCAGCTTCTGGCACAGAAAGCACCACTGTCGAAAGTGTGGGAGAGTTGTATGTGCATCATGTTCCCCACATCGGATCACGATTCCCAGACAGTATATTGTCCGGCCTCCTGAGTTTGTTGACATCCTGCCCGATTCTCCGGCAATGCCTTCACACCCTCCACCGGTTGTCGATCTCACAGGCGATAACCCTGTCCTATCATCATCACCATCAAGACCAGAAGCATCGACAGCAATAACGGCACTCAATCCTGCCCTTGGTGGAGGCGAAGAAGTACGACTTTGCAATCCATGTGTGCCGGATCCAAACCCGAATCCCCTTGGCTACAGTACTGTGCGGGCACACGGCCACCGACCTACTCATTCTCTTTCATCTACTATGGCCAACGCATACCGTGCCTCACCGGTTAGTTCTTTCCTATCACTTTACCCAGTACAATATGAACTAACATGAAACGCGTAGGGTCCAAGCCAGAACCTCGAAGCTCGTCAGGAACGACGGACCGTGGGCGCAAATGACCGGCCACAGTTCCTAAGCGAACTAAATTCTCAACCCCGTCTAGTTCCCTCGGCCACTGGCATAGCCCGACCGCGTCGTTCATTTTCCAGTCGCGAGGGGAACCGGCCTGCACCGGACGAGGGTGATTTCTGCCCCGTATGCAGACGTCAATTTCTTCCACTTAGTCCCGAGCAGCCTCTTGAGGCGCGCCAAGCTCATACCCGGGCGTGCATCGAGAGCTATTTGAGACCGACTGCCTCGCCCCAGGCATCATCCGTGCAACAGGGTCCTCCGCTGCCGTATCCTCCGCCAGCAGCCCGCATGCTTCCATTTGTGGCCACGGAGAAGGACTGCCTTGGTGAGGATGGCCAGGCAGCGGAGTGCACCATCTGTATGGAGGACTACGAGGTTGGGCAGACCCTGGCCCGCCTTGAATGCCTCTGCAAGTTCCACAAGCACTGTATTGTTGATTGGTTTGAGAGGAAGATGGAGTGCCCTGTCCATAAGCTTTCATAATAAGGGGCACATCCATCTAGCGTGAATTTCAAGAGATCTTCTTGTTGCCTTAGCTTAGCTTTTTGCTTTTTGTGCCTTTTTGGTTCACGGCGTCTGGGAATTTTGTTTATGATATCCCCCGCTCAGCATACAGACCTCAATTTAGATCTAATGATCAACGAAACTAATCCGACCTCAATATAAAAATCAATTAGATGTAGATGTAGATGCCGAGGGATATGTAGCATGGAAGGTCTTGGTCACGTGGCCCCTAAGATGTTAGTTGGAACTCAAAAATCAAAAGCACTTCACTTCACTTCTGGCCCCAAAGTGACGAGCGAGTCAAACAGGACTAAGTGATGTTCTAGGAGAGAGAGGTAAGCATTGTTTATACGTGTATCTATTCCCCTTCTTTGACAGAACCCACCCCGCTGAGGCATGTTGATCCTCCACATCGGTGATCGGTGTTTGTGATCACCGTTCTCCGTGTATTTCTCCCGTCGCAAAGCCACACGAGCTGTTAGCGATCACGACATTGAAACAATGGCAAAAATCAATAATTACACTAATTGCGAATTGACGCTAATGTGTAACAGAGATCTGGTCCTCGAACTAGTATTACAACCCCGCACTGAATGGAAATCGACCCGCAGCTACAACACACCCGAGACGGGGACCCTCACCGGCCGTTTTACACGCCGTCCCGACCGACAATGAGCACAGGCCCGGAATACCCCGAGCCACCCTCCCACGCACCCCTAAACCCCTACCAAAGCCGGGATATACATAGTGATGAGCACAGCCACAGACATGGACCCGGGGACACGCACCCATCATTCGGGATGGGTCCAGACACCAACCAATCCCCAGAGCCGCACGACGGACCAGGTGAGGCCAAACGGTCGCGGGCGTGCGAGCCCTGCCGACAGCTGAAAGTGCGCTGCGTCCCAGATCCGGCGCACCCGGAGGGGTCGTGCAAGCGGTGCGCGAAAGCGCGGCGGACATGCGTTGTGACTGCGCCGACGCGCAAGCGACAGAAAAAGACCGACAGCCGGGTAGCGGAGTTGGAGCGGAAAATCGATGCTCTGACGGCGACGCTGCAGGCGTCGAATTCAACCGGTGCGCTGTTCTCTGGTGGGGCGGGGCATCAACCGTCGCCGCCCGGGCAGCGGGATGAGCAGCTGGTTGGTCGGGGGTGGATCAGTGGGGAGTCGAAGATAGCCGGGAGCAAACGTCTGCATACTGGCGAAGTTAAGGATTTGTCTGGTGGGTTGCTAGCGCCGCGGTATTCGCGGCCGGGTAGTCCATCTGCGGAACAGATTCCTAGCCATGCACCGAAGCATTGGCACAGACCTGGTAGTGGTGATTCTGCGCCGCCGCCGAAATCCGAGGCTGGCAATGAGTTTGCTGATATGATCGACCGGGGGATTATAGATTACACGACTGCCAACGCGGCGTTTGAGCGGTATATCTATCAGATGGCACCAGAGATGCCTTTTGTTGTTTTCCCGCCGGGGACTACGACGGGTGAGGTTCGACGTAATAAACCTCATTTGTTCCTTGCGATCATGGCTGCTGCCGTTGGCGTCTTTAGTCCCGACGCACAGCTGACCCTCGTGAATGAGACATATCGTTTGATCGCCGAGCATGTTGTTGTCAAAGGCCAAAAGTCACTTGAGCTGGTTCAGACTATCCTGGTATGTGCTATCTGGTATTTACCACCAGATAACTTCGACGAGATCAAGTTCTATTCTTTGACGCATATGGCTGCGGTCATGGCAATGGAACTTGGATTGAACCGTCCCATTTCCGGAAATAGACGGAGCTTCAATATGATCCGCGAGCTGATCATGAAAAAGCCAACGGGTCCGGCATTTGATCCAGATGGACCGGAGGCAAGGCGGACTTGGGTTGGCTGCTATTACTTACCTGTCCAGTGAGTTTTTAGGCCCGGTTGTCGTGGTATGGGAATCGGTAACTAACCTTTGACAGGATGTCGGCAGCTCTGAGGAGAGTACACTTGATCACCTGGAAGCCGTACATGGACGAGTGCCTTGAAATTCTGGAAAAACACCCGGATGCCCTACCCTCCGACCGGAAATTGAAATGGTGGGCAAAGCTGGGAGCGATAATGGAAGATGCTGGGCATCGCTTTTCTGCGGATGATCCCGGGTCCATTTCTACCTTCGCGGACAGTAACGCGTGGTATAATATAAAACTGCTTGAAGGTCGATTGGCACAATGGAGAGAAGAGGTCCCGTCAGAACTTTACACTGGTAAGCGGCTGGTTTTGAGAATTGTCTAATCTTCTGGCTGACATTCCTCCAGGGGCGATGGTCCACACAGAGCGTGTCCTGAATCTCTTCGTACATGAATCTGCAATGAGCGTGGACTACAACACTGGCAACCATTCTCCACCTCAGAATGAGTTGCACACGGCATCAATTGCGGCGGTTATGGATGCGCTGACTGCGGCCATCCGCTGCATTCACCAGAGTCTAGATATCATTTGTGCCATTGAGGTTGACCGAATTATATCGTTGCCTACGATGTCATTAGCACGGACGACGTATCCCGTGGTCAGTTTGATAAAGATATACTCACTGTTCATGTCGCCGGACAGTCGAATCGGGCAGATTCTCGACGTGCAGAGTCTCAAATTGGATTACTATCTGGACAAAGTCATCGCACATTACCGTGCCGCCGCCGCTCGTGATGGTGGCCGTGGAGCAGCGAAATTTGGAAACATAATGGTGCTGTTACGCAATTGGTTTATCAAAAAGCGTGACCAGGGAGATCATGGCCGGGAGTTGAAAGAGGTCTTTTCAAACGATCAGAAACCCTCCGATCGCCCACAGGCACATCGGGGCCATGATACCCCGACCGTAGCATCTGCCAATCCAACAACGCAGATGACACCGGGCATGACACCCCTCCATTTCCTCAGCGAAGTAGCCATGGGTGACCCAGCACACCGAGCGAACAATGCGAATCCCCAACGATCGATAACCAGACAAACTTATTCCTCAAACCACAGTCCAAGCTCGACAGTCAAACCAATGACAACGTCAGGCTCATCCAATTTCGGGCCAGATCCATCCCAACCCAGCTGGTCTGACGCATCATACCCAGCCAGTCTCCCGAGTTCAGACACCCAGATCGAGACAAGGGGTTACTACCAACCCTATCCATCCACCGAACTCACACCGAACTATCCAGATCTACCGTCGAGTGCGCAGACTCAGGGATACCCGGATATGTCCACCGTGGCTGGGATGCAGCTTGCTCCTCCGATGGGAATGACACCCGATGTAGGCATGGACCCGAATTTCGGTGATCCTTGGTTTACGTTGGGGAATATGATGGATGAAGGGCTGTTTACGTTCCCGCTTTCTTTTGATGGGAATTTCGGATTGTTTTAAGTCTAGGTTGTGGTTTAGTTGGGTGTTTTGTCTTCTCCTCTATTGCTCTATTCTACCCGTTGCTATTTTACATGTATATCAACTTCACTCATCTTGCAAAATGGAACATTTGAAGAGAAGCCATGCCTTTTCGAATTCAGGTGTCGTAGCCAAGGCAAACAACGAACCTCCATGGATGTCAATTGATCTCGAATAAAATACCTCATGACATCATCTAACTCATAAACATAGCTTTTTACCCTAGTCCAGGCATATATCTCAAACGTACGTGTCTATGTTTGATTATGTGTATCATCTTTGATCGGCAATGAACTTGCTTCCCCGCATTTTCGGGGATTGTTTCCCGATTTCGAGTTATTTCGAGGAGGGAAATTTACCCCGTCCCTGCACGGGCAACTGATCTGGTCCAACTCACAAGACAACAAGACATCCTTGATTATTGGATGCTTGGGTGCTTGGATCTGCACGTTGAACCTTCACGCTGACAATATGGGGAATCAGAGATGTCATTCCTTGGTATGGTAGCTTTGGTCCAATCCACAAGGCAAGAGATGGGGAATACGAAGACACATGGATGATATATAAATCAGCGCCATCCTGCGTGCTAGCACCCCAAGCATTCCAAATATCTCAAATCCTTTTCGCTCGAGACGAACCAATTCGGACAAAGACTTGTTGCTTCTAGACGTGGCATTCCACTGCTTTGCACAGTCTATAATCCTAGTTCAACCTTCCATCATCTTCCACACAGCATGATCACTATATTGACAGCCATCTCAGCTGCACCCTATGCAGCTGGGCTAGGCTTGTTCCTTCTTGGATATTTCCTCGTCCTCCCTTATATTGAATATCTTCGGGACCCAAAGGGTATTTTGCCAAGAGACCAGTTCAATGCTCTGCTTGAACATATTAGGCCAACTGCTGACCGGTTCGTCTAGGCTTGAGGAGATACCCTAATCTCACCCCCTTCTCCGGATTTTCAGCAGTTCCATTCATGATTATGGCTTCGCGCGGGTTCCGGTCAATGGAATTGAGCGAGTTACACAAGAAGAACCCCGTCATTCGAACAGGGCCAAACCAGCTGTCTTATGGCGATGTCAAGGCCATAAAAGACATCTATGGCCACAGCACCAAGTGTATCAAGGATGGATCTTATGTGATTACCTCTGGAACCCACTACAATCTGGCAGATGTTGTGGATAAGCCTGACCATGCGCGAAAGCGCAAGGTCCTCTCTGCCGCATATGCCCTCAAGAATCTAGAGACGTGGGAATACAAAGTGACTGACAAGGTGCAAAGAATGTTTAAGCATTTTGACCAAGTCTGCACCACACCCGCCTCTGCAGATGTGTTATCTGGAAAAATCGCACCCGACCAGAAAGACCTCACGCTTGACCTCCGAGCCTGGACCAACTTCTTCACCCTTGATGCAATTGCCGACATTGGTCTCTCGGAGAAGCTAGGCTTCTTAGATTCCGGTACTGATGTTTGCATTGCCGAAAGGAAGGATGGCTCAACATATGAGACCAACTTACGCGAAGCCCTCTACCCAACAGCTCGAAAGCAATCCCTCATCCTCTGGAACTACCAATGGTATCC